CTAAACCCTAAACCGTAAACAGCCCCAACCCCTAACCCCAAACCCCTAAACCCTAAACCGTAAACAGCCCCGACCCCTAACCCCTAAACTCCTAAACCCTAAACCGTAAACAGCCCCAACCCCTAACCCCTAAACCCTAAATGGCTGCTTCCTTGCAGCAAGGGGTCTCGCACGAACTCAGAGCCGCATTAAAGCTAATGACATCCGGTGATAGCGCCTGAGGTTTAGGGGGTTTAGGGGTGTAGGGGTTTAGGCATTTAGGGGTTTAGTGGCTCAGGGGCTTCGGCATTTAGGGGTTTGGGGGTTTAGGGTTTAGGGGCCTTAGTTGCCGAGATGAAAACAACGCAAAAAAAAACAAAAATACAAAAGCAAACAAATGCTAATACTACTGACAACAAAGGTAGTATTCGTAATCGCAATAGTGATAACTACTAATAACACTAATAATAACTCTGCATACTACTGCCAGCAATAACTATGTTATATGAATAGCAGCATGATTAATAACGACAAGAATATTAATAGTAGCAATAATAATTCGAATGCCGAGCAAATAATACGCCGACTAACCTCGGCGCATTCAGGGTCTAGGGTCGGGCATAATCTACCCCAAAAGGCTTACGGCTTATCTACTGATCCAACTGCGACACCTTCTAAATCTCGATGAACCCGTACAGATCCCTTATAGATCCCAAGGGACACCTCAAAAATCCCTAAACCCTAAACCCTGAAACCTAAACCCTGAACTCTAATCTCTGAACCCTAAAGCCAAGGATCTTCACCAGGCATGCAGACAAGAAGATGAAGAGCTCTCTGCCAACATCCAGCCCTTGCACAGGAGCTAATTACAGCATTGTAGCTGATCCTCAGTTGTTTATCTCATAGGATCCCCCCAAAGCAGACTTTCAGCATTAGAGGGACTTTGTGATACCAAAAACGTTAAATTATACCAACTCAGCTACCAAGGATCACATCCGGGGTTAGGCTGGCGACAGGCAGATGCGCAAAGAGTTGCAGCGCCGAGAGCCACTCTCCGCCCTTCTCGCAGGAACTGATGACCCTAGTGAAGCTGATGTTGTCCGGCGTCAGGTTGACAAGAGGTATGAGATGAAAAAGATGCAAAGCCTGTTGCCACTGGCCGTTCTTCTCACCTGATTCTTGTCGGGGAACTTTATGCCTTTATGCAACATATCTTAAAAGGAAGGCATATCATGTTCTGTAAGACTATATACATAATTACTATACATGTATGTAAATGTCTATGTATTGTATATGTATATGTACCTGTATATGCGTATGTGTATGTATATGTTGGCAATTCAATATATATATATATATATACTATACACATATTATGCACGCCCGTTTGGGTATCTGGAGCTAACTTTCTCAACAACAGGCCAGTCACAGGAGCCAATTGCGGCGTTGAAAGTGATCAGATTCGGGGAAGTCGCTGACTTCATCATGCTGCGAAACAGGTGCAGCCCCAGCTGCCATCGTCCCTCTTTCTTGCAGGAGCCTGGGCTGTAGGGCCGGCATTCGCATTTATAAGACAAACATATACTTATCATTTATGTACATGTATGTCACACACACTTTACACATAAACATACGCTTCAAAAAGCTAGAACCATCTCAAGCTGCCACCTAGGAGCTGATTGTGGCATTGTAGCTGACCACGTTAGGTGCCAGTTGGACATCGGGGAGCAAGCGGAGCAAGTGCAAGGCCAGCTGCCACTGTCCCGTCTTCGCCGCAGCCCTGATACCCAGGTTGTAGGCCTGGGGTTGGGGGTCTTTGTTGAGAATATTGCTTCGGGTTGGGTTTATGGTTTCACGTTTCCAACATGACAGCATTAAAAAAAAAAACAAACACAACTTTGCAGTCGTATTGTCGTGTTGGGGAAAACAAAACAAGCACCTACAAACTCCAAAGCTCCTTCCAAACCTTAAAAGCTCTCAGTTGAGTTCCTGAGCCCTAAACCTTAGACATTTAAGTGATTCCCAGAAAGTTGGAACATGGTTTTAGGATGATTCGTGCTGAGATCCCCTATACTTTGCCTTAAGAGCATGAGGGCAGTGATGTTCCAACTTTCTGGCTTCTACTGTATACTCTAAGCCTTCAATCATGCGGAAACCCGTCAGTTGGGCCTGCTACGAGTTCGGGGTTTGGGGTTGAAGGTTTTGGGTTTGAGGCACTTAAACAAGAACCCCGTCGCCTCAACACCCAGATTCGTCCGGCCGTCTTTGCGAATCGCAACGAGCATCTGAGAAATCAGATCCTGATTTGATTTAGGGGCCTTGATAATTGGAATAGGGTTTTTGTGTACATTATACTATAATTCCCCAAACTTCGTATAGCTAACTGTTAAGGCCCCTATATTAGAGTAGGGGTGCAGGATTTAGGGTTGAGAGCTCAGGGCTTAGGGTCTAAACACTACATTTTGTATCAGACCCTGCGCTATTCTCAGCAACATTTACCTATATATGCATAAATAGAAGGTCCTCCTATCTCTGTTAGTCTCGAGCTCTAGAAGGATAATGGGCAGTCTGTATTAAAGCTCAGATAGCCCACGCGGGTGTATACAATGATCAAGGGCATCCTAGAGTGGACAAGCTGGAGCTCAACTGAACATTTGGGTAGTTGTCAAAATTATGGTCCCTTTTGGGGTACCCTAAATAATAGGTGCCGTATTATAATAAGGACCCAGAAAGGGACCATAATTTTGACAACCACCCATATGAGATCTGCGGAGTCATCTAACGCAATGCACACGTGTGTCCAAACCAAGGGCGTTCACATCTCAAACCGTTGCAGGCCCTTGCAACCTTAAATCCTGAACCCAAGTAAGGTGATGTAGGGGCCTTAATAAATAGAACAGGGTTTTGGGGTACATTATACTATAATCATTTATAGTCCGGAAACCCGAAAATTGTATAGGTACTAATTTAGGCTCCTCTATTACCCCGGGAAGCTCCCAGAAGGTATCCCAAGATGGACCCCTAGTAGTAGGATCCCTTTGGTGTAGCCGCAACCCGAAACACTACACACCAGTATCTCTAGACTCCAAAAAGCCCTAAACTGATGTTACCCAGGCGAAATGTAGTACTTGTTTTGGGAAAGCCTACTGTTATGGTAAGACAATTATAAAAGGAAACCATAATAATCAAGAGAACGTACGATATTTCGGGGTCTAAGTTCAACCCATATAGAGCCTTATAATGTCATAATTATCGAGCCCATGTAATTCCGTAACTAGTCGAGCAGTGAAATTCCAAACCTGAGCATGGCGTATGCCTCTGGGTTATCGAACCCTCGTAAGGCCCTTAGAAGAACCCTGAGACCTGCCGCGCAGGACTGCCGAGAGTCCGCTTGTTTCAACCGCTTGAGTTCCTTCGTGGCTAGGACCAGGGGTGCAGCGATTAGGGTTTATGGTTTGGGGCTTACGGTTTAGGGGGTTGAGGGCTTAGGGGTTTAATTTAGGGTTTAGGGGTGTAGGGTTTAGGGTTTAGGGGTGCAGCAGAATGATCAGGGTTCGGGGCTTCAGGTTTAAGGCCTCGTCTATGGTGTAGGGCTCAGAATTGCTTAGGAAGCTTTGAAGTTTTACTTGTAGTACACTGTTGTCGAGTTCGACCGGCCGATACGTATAGCGAAGCAATCGAGATATACTTCGCATTGTTGATCTTCAGGCCTTGTTAAGCGCAGGGATTACGCTTGCTAACTTGCAAGGGCTGTTGATACGGGAGCTAGGATCTAGGTTTAAAGTTGTTCACCTTGCGAGTTTCAGGTTTTGGATCTATTGCGCTAGTATACAAGTCTGTCTATTGCGCTAGTATAGAAGCCTGAGTAATCACCAATCTTATTCCCTGCCTTTTTGTTATTCGAGCATACTATACCCCAGGCCCAAAACCCAAGTGTTACAAACCCCCCCATCCTAAACCCTAAACCCTAAACCCTAAACCCTAAACCCTAAACCCTAAACCCTAAACCCCTAAACCCTAAACCCCTTAACCTGTTAAAGGTTTACAGACCTGATTCGCCGAGGCTCTCGTGCTACTTCCGTGAAGGGCTCTGCATCCGTCCACCAGTCTTGGCATCTCCCGAGACACTGTGCCTTCTGTGGACTACACATAGGCCCCATAGTAGTTCCTTTTTGGGATTACCTACTAGGATCCTAAACATAAGCCGCAAAAAGGAACTACTATGGGTCCTATGGGTAAGGTTAGGGTGTAGTGTCAAATTTTAAATACCATAACCTACTTTGTTGTGGGATCCCTACGAAATTCTACAGGGTTTATAACAAGAACCTGCAAAACACGTAGGTTATGGTAGTCTAGGGAAGCGATTCGAGTACAGGATTTCGATGCAGGGCTTAGAATCTGTAGGATCACAGACTTTGCAATATCCGCTGATCAAGGAATATACCTTAAACCATAGCGGGGTTTCTACTATATGCTAAGGTCTCTTCCGTAACTACAGGATTTAGAAAGGCTTCTTGCAAAGGCGTGTGAAAACTATACACCAAGGGCACCTAAACCTCAAATGCGGGTTTAGGGTTTTAGGGTTTAGGGACTTAGTAAGTAGGGAAACAGTAGAGTTGCCAGTACCTACATGGAGCTACCCTAATTATAACCCTACTTATAACGGACTTACTAAGTCCCCTGGGCCTCTAAGTAGAGTTTAGGGTTGACGGTTCAGGGTTCGGGGTTTCAGGGTTGAGGGTTTAGGCTTCGCCTCTGCCAGAGAAAGGTGTGCAACATATCCTTTGAGGACTTCTATCAGGAAATCATCATACGAAGCCCTAAAAGGGAAGGCTCTACAGGGTTTAGAGGGCCTCGATGGCGGCCGAGACACTACTGCCCGATCCACTTGGGCATCGGGCGGTGTGGATGCCTTCGGCACTCTCGTTTCGGGCTTAGAGTTTAAGGTTCATACCTTCAAGTATTAAAGCTTACTTTTTGTAGGCTCTTGTTATAACCCTTAGGGTTTAGGGTTTAGGGTTTAGGGGTTTAGGGTTTAGGGTTTAGGATGTAGACTTTATAGGGTCCTGACACGAGAGAAGTTTCGGGAGGTTGAGGTAAGGGTCGACCTTTTGAGCAGGGCTACATGGCAATGCCATTCTGCCACCGCCCCCCCCCCCCCCAGACAAGCTTAGAATAGCATACAAGGGCTTTCAGATTTGACAGCCGGGTTTGTAGAACAACCTAACCCCGACCCGAAATGTATGGCTTGATTTAACCATCTGTAAGCCAACTTGAAGCTACTGGATCCGGCTGTAAACTAGGAGCCCGGGAAGGGGTTTAGGGACCGTGTTGAACCAAGACTCAGTATTGCTCGAAACCCTAACCCTCATCCCTAACTAAACCCTGGACCCTAAAGCCTACACCCTAGACCCTATCCCTGAAGCCTAAAGGCTACACCCGAAAGCCCTTAACCCTAAACTGACAAGCCTAGACCCTCAAGCCTAAACCCTACAGACTTAAAACCTGAAACCATAGAGCCGAATCCGACCCCAAAGCCTAAATCCTGAAGCCCTAACCCCTAAACTCTATACCACCTTAGCCCTTAGCCCTAAAGATCTAAACTAAACAAACCCTATAAAGCCCAAAACCTAAACCCTGACGCCCTTAGCCCTAAACTCCATATTGCCGGGGAGGGCTAAGGTCGTCAGGCCAAAGCCCTACAGTAGAAGCCCAAAAGTTGTAAACCCAATAGCCTCAATCCCGAAGAGTAGTGTATAAGCAATTTCAGCACTAATTGTCCTTAATCCGCTGTCCAATTTTACCCTAAGACCCTAAACCCTTGTAGAACCCTTGTAGAACCCTTGCCTTATAGAACCGTTATAGAACCCTTATAGATCGTTTAGAGGAGCCCTAAAACCCAAACTTGTTTGGGGTTTTCCATAGGGCTTCCACCTCTCAACTGAATACCACCCGGTCCTCTATTGAGGAGTCTCTGAGGGGTTCCTTTAGGGGATCCATAAGGGTGCTTCAAGGGTTTAGGGTCTTAGGGTGCTGGATTATCCAAAATCCCGTAGTTAATTTCTCAGAAAATGTAGTATCCCTACTATGGCTTAAGGATTGTACTAGGATCCCCAATATGATTTAAGATGATTTACAGGGTGTTTAACGTATATTCCTTAATTAAGGGGTTTGGGAAGATCTGGACAAAGGTTTCGGGCCTAGGGTACGTTCTGGGGTTCAGGTTTAGGATTGAGATGTGGGGTTTTGGGGAAACCTTAGGGGATACGGTTGATGATATAAATCCTGCATTGCTCATAATAAGGAATATACCATAGTTTAGAGTCCTTAAGTAATGCAGGATTTTTATCAACAACAGTAAGAGTCTATGTCTGGCGTTTTTTGGGGCTGTGGCAGAAGATACCTCATGGGACCCGCATGGGCTCAATCACCTGTCAGCATCGAACAGCACAACCTACAGAACAGTATTGAAACACTGGTTAATTAGGGTTTAGGGTTTAGGGTTTAGGGTTTAATAACCAGGGCAAAATACGTGACTGCTGAGTTGAGACAAACTTCGACCGCGACGACAGTAAGCCTGAACCGCAAGTTAATGTAGCAGCCCTAATAGGAAAGGGGCTTTGGGGTGGACTAGGGAACCCGAAGGCAATATAGGGACTTAGTAATCAGAGTAGGGCTATGGGGTATATATTGTCCATTACGCTATAAAAACTTTAACAAGAAGCCGAAAGAATACTGTTGGCAAGTGTTTAGGCTTCTATAGTAACTATTCGGTCCCGAGATTCGCGGCGAAAGACCATCTAAATCCAAACTCCGACAGACCCAAGCCCGGAATAAAGCACCGCTACAGCTCCCCAATTGACAGACACCCAAAACCCTAAAATCCAATGTGGGGGGGCCTTAATTCTTGAAATGTGGTGTGGGGAAAACGTCCCTAAGGCTCCAAGTACCCAGATAGCAGGGCTTTAGGTACCAAAAGCTAGACTCTGAATGGTTCTTAAGACCTAAAACCGTACTCATTGGACAGTTGGACCCGTAGAGGATAGTAGCCAGTTTCAAGGGCCAGAGGCAACAAAAGACGACCTGAGTCGGAAAACGATCTGTCCAAGCTTACCTGTGAGCCCTTGTGTCACAAGGGCATTCATACTCAGAACAGAGCTTTGGGGGTAGATTGCTGTATAGTTGTAGGGGGACACCAGGTGAATGTAGCTGTGATGATAACCCAACCCCATGTAACAGTCAAGCTCGAAGCTGGAAGGCAAACCAAATCATAAGGCTTAAAGCTGACAGAGCGGCCTCCAATTTTTAGGGTTCCGTAGACTGAAAACCCCGGCATAATCCTTTTCAGCCAGTAGGTCATATCGGCATTACGTTTGGGGTTGAGGGTACAAGCATACTCCTAGAAGCCAATGTCGCCGTCATCCAGCGGATCGTCGCCGTCTACGGCCAGATGAACACCAGACCATTACGTCGTCGCGGGAACGTAGCAGATCCAAGCACCAACAAGGCTTCTGTGGCCGAGGCGGCGTTTTCACTAGTCGGGCACGCAACAGGCGGCACATTCCCACGGCGCCCTTCACACTCGCAAAGGCGCACGCATGTGTTAGCGATTCGCCGGTCGACCTCCCTAAACACTAAACCCTAAACCCTAAACCCTAGACCCTAAACCCTAAACCCGAAACCCTAAACCCTAAACCATAAACCCTAAGTTCTAGCAGCGCCAGAGATGCCGCAGCCATGTACCGCATGCAGTATGAGCCCCTATCGTCGGCCATGTCGATGTTGCACAGACGTAGGGCGCCCATCACGTCCACCACTTGGGCTACAGTGAGCGTTTTGCCGTAGGAGGCTTCTATACCCGATATTTTTCTTGGATGGGGGTCAAACTCCACAGGCAAGTCTGCATGTCTGTCGGATGTGGCGCCTAGAACAAAACTCACAGTTAGAATGAACCCCGACGAGAGGCGTGATTCTGGACTCCCCTACCGAAGCCCGTGACCTAAACACCCTCGAACCTAAGACCCTCTCCTAGAGTAACAATGTAACTGTGAACATTCAACAAGGGGAAATAACATCCACATGATGTTCGGGTCATCAACCGTTGGAATTGCTATTTTTATCCCGGCTGTTGCTAACCCAAACCCTGAACCCTAAACCCCAAACCACAAACCCCTAAACCCTAAACCCTAAACCCCTAAACCCTAAACCCTAAACCCCTAAACCCCTAAACCCTGAACCCCTAAAGCCAAAA